GTTAGGGGGGCCTTTGCAGCTGAGTCAGAGGCTGTAGCGGGTCTGTGAGGAGTCAGCTTGGGCTTTGTCTGTGAAGCGCGTGTGGAGGTGGGTCTGTGAGGAGCGGATGGCGCCTCTGTGCCTGCAACACTGGCTGTGGTGGGTCTATGAGACGCTAGCGGGGCCTCAGTAGCGGAAGAACTGACTGTGCTGGGCCTCTGACGACTCGGTTTGGGCCTGGTACCTGCAGTGCTGGCTGAGGTGGGTTTCTGGTGCGTCGACTGTGGCTTTGTGCCGGCAACACTGGCTGTGGTGGGCCTGTGGGCCGTGGGCTTGGGCGTGGTCCCGGGGGCGCTCGTGGGCCTGTGGGCCGTGGGCTTGGGCGTGGTCCCGGGGGCCTTCGTGGACGTGGTTTCCTGACCAGCCGGTGTGACTTTGGGTGTCTGAGAATTGTCTGTGGAGGAAAAGTGATTTCGAGAATTAGCTTCCTGTTGCCACCGAGGCTGTGACTCCAGAACCCGTCAGCCGCCCGGAGCCTCTTCCCACCCACAGGACTCGAAGGCGCCTGTTTGGAAACCAAGTCTTGTCTGTATGCCAAGGGGCACCCGGAGAGCTTCTGCTTGGCTAGAAGCCACCGTCGGGCCACGGCACGGGGGCCCCACCCTCGGGGCCCGCAGACCCCCCCGGAGGCCGTGAAACCGGGATCTCCAAGCTCCACCCGGCATCGGCCGCGACGGCACCGGGCACAGCCGGCCGCGGCCCCCTGGGCGGCAGCTGGCATCACGGGCACCAAGTGACACGATTCAACTAACTCGGGGAAACGGGAGCTCAAGCCAACGGCCGAAAGCTCATCGCCGTCACTCGTCCGGAACACGAACGCGAGCGCGGAAACGAGGCGCCGCGATGAGCACGAGTCTGGCCCGCGGAGGGGCTGGGGCGGGTCCCCGGGTCCGTGGGTGCGGGGTGCCGGGACGGCGTGCAGGGGTGCAGCGGGCGGGGAACGTGTCATGGTGCCCGTGTGGGCACTGACGGGAAAACGCCGAAGCCTGAAGTCCCGGCGCCAGCGGAGAGGCTGCGAGGGCCGTGCGGGCGCCAGGGGGGGACGTTCTCGGAAAAGCGAACAGAAATGCGACTCCCCGTTTCCTCTTCGGAATTAGACACCAAAAAAGTGTGGCCGCGGTTCTGGAGCGCGGGGTGAGGGGTGGCGGGGCGAGGGGTGCCCGGCCGCCCACGGCTCCTCCCACTCGGCCCTCTGACAGCCGAGGGCTCCGCGCAGCGCCGGTCCGTCCGTGCATGGTAACGACTTTAGCGGGCGCTCGCTGGGCGCAGCCGGTGCGCCCCGACGGACAGCGGCCCCTCCGGGCGCCGAGTGCCGCGGTGAGCCCAAACGTGCCCGCCCCAGCCCCCAAGAGCCACCCTGGAGCCCCTGATGGCACTGCGGGTCTCAGAGGGAGGGAGACGCCTAGAAGTGTTAGGGGGAAGGGCGACCTGAAGGAACCCCGGGGAGTCCGGTGGGCCCCGCCCCTGCTCCGGCTGTCTGGACTCCGCCCCCTGCTCCAGGGACTGGAAACTACAACTCCCAGCAGCACCCGGGAGAGAGGGGCGGGGACCCCGGGGCAGAGCCAGCAGGAATGCTGGGACATTTGGGGGCTACATAGGGGCCATTTTGCTAAGGAGAAGGACGTACTGAAGGAACTCTGGGGAGTCCGGTGGACCCCGCCCCCTGCTCCGGCTTTCTGGACTCCGCCCCCTGCTCTGGGGACTGGAAACTACAACTCCCAGCAGCACCCGGGAGAGAGCTGCGAGGACCCAGGGGCGGAGCCAGCAGGAATTCTGGGACTTTGGGGGATAAATAGGGGCCATTTTCCAGCGGCTGGGGCTGGGGCAATGGCTCTCAGGACTGCGTGACTCGGGGCTTTCAGTCAGTTTGTTCCCAGAGCTGCGAGTCAGCCAGCAGGTCGGGTGCTCCAGTTACCTTGCATCTCTCTCCCCCTGGGTTGTCCCTGTTCCTGTCCCCCTCTGTAAATAAGCCCGTTATTGACCCTTTCGCGTGCACCTGCAGGAGAGTTAAATGTTAAGCACGCGGGTGAGGCCCACGGACAGGCGCCCAGTCCACACCGGGCGCCCCGTAGCAGGAGGACAGAGCAGCAGCGTTCTGGAGGCAGAAGGAAATGAGCCCCTCCTGGGGCCCCTCAGCCCGGCCTGGAGTCCCCCCGGCGAGAAGCACCCCCTCGCGCCGCGGCCCGCACTGGCCGGCCCCGCCGACAGCCCGAAGCCGGCCGCCCCGCGCATCTGCGGAGGGGTCTCCGCCGCCGTCCAGGGTTTTGAAGTCCCGGCCCCTGGGGGCCCGGTGGCCGCGCGTCTCCCGGAAGCCGCAGTATAATGTGGGGGGCCGTGGCGCCCTGGCGGGCCCGCGGGCCGGCCGCTGCCCACCTCTGCACTCGGGGGCCGGCCCACTCCAGACGCCCTCGTCGTCCTTCACGGTGCAGAAGATGGAGCTGGCGCCCACCATCTCGAAGCCTTTGCTGCACCTGTAGGTCACGGACTGCTGGTACACGTAGCTGCTACTGGGGTTCAGCACGAACCCGTTGTCGGTGTGCGGAGGCTCCGGACAGTGGATTCCTTCAAAGACCCGACGTGTTTGAGATTAGCAAGAGGAACACGGTCTCGGACACACAACTGGGATGTGAAAACTTCGCTTCCAGAAATCAGAGCTCAGCCATTTGCTAGGCTCAGTGGGGCTCGGGGGTGCTGCTGAACCCCGCCAGGTGCTGGGCAGTGCGGTGAGGCGGGGTTGGGGGTGCGTGTGGGAGCCACAGAGGCGGCCCTCAGGGGCCCAGCTCAAACTCGCCCCGGGGAAACTGGATGTGTCGAGCCTTCAGGGGGGCTGGAGAGCTGAGCTTCTCCCCAGGGGACCCTCCTGGGGTGCAGGGGACGGGGCGAGCCGTGTGCCTCTGGGGGATGCCACGCTGGGCACCTGAGTGGGCACCAGACGGGCGGCTCCCCCCAGCCGTGGGCTTCGTCCGTCGGCCTGTCCTGCTCCCCGCTCTGTCTCTGGGGCGTCCTCTCACCGCCCCCGCGCCTCTGGCTTGCGCCCCAGTTCTGTGGGCACCAACAAATAAATCACAGAGAAAACAGGTGCCGGGACCAGCCCAGCAGGGGGAAATCCTCCCTCCGCAGGGGGTCGGCAAAGGGGTGTGAGGAGACAGGGCTTTGCCTGCACCCCAGTCCCTCACCCCGGGGGCGGGGCGGCCCAGGCCACCTCCAGGGGACGGCCCGTTGGCGCTGACCCGCAGCTGTGACGCGGCTGCCCCCGGCCTCACCTACGCATTCCGGCAGCGGCTGGCTCCACTGGACGGTGTTGTCTCTGAGTATGCAGTAGCTGGACGTCGCCCCTTCTAGCCTGTACCTGGAGCCGGGGGGAGCAGAGTGACCGCCAGCCACGGCCCGGAGGCCGTCCGCCGCGCCGGCAGGTGGGGACAGGCCGCACAGACTTCCCACGCTGACCTGTGCCATGACCCCCTTTTTCGTATCATCGTAGTATCAAAATATTCTGAGCAACCTTCAGCTTAGAATCGGATTGCCTCAGCCGCACAAGGCCGCCTGCCCTGACAAGCCCTGCCCCAGGGCGAGAAACTCCCCTGACGCCAAGTGACTTGACCACTGGCTGACCAATCAACGCGAAAGGGCTGTTTCTGCAAAGTCTCTCACTGCCGGCGGAGGAAAACCCGAATCTCATCCCTCCACTATCTCCCCTGGCTTCTACTCAGCTGCTACAGAATGACTCAGACTTCCTACTGTCTGGCTTTACATGTGGAAATTCACCCAGGCTGCCTGTTTTAGAGCCAGTCAGGTCTTTTGCCTGCTACACCTCAAAGGAATCCACAAAGTCGTCTGCCTGAGGCTTTCGGGATTCTACCGTCTGGTCTCTAGATAAGGAAACTCACCTGTGTCTCCTATTCAGAGCGAATGACGCTTTCTACTGTCTGGACCTCAAGGAAACTCACTGAAAACCTTTCAGCAAGTTTCTTCAAAGAACTTTTCCGAAATTTGACTTGCAAGAAATTTCCTCTTCTTCCCGCCTCCCGGGATGTCTCAGGCAGAAAAACCCATCAAGTAGTAGACAAGGTTTCAGGGACTTTATTCTTATCAATCTTCACTATAGTAATATCAGTCCTAAACTTTGAGCACCTATGTACCTGTTCTTTAACCTTGATTGATTTTAGAATGTTAGAATCTCAAGTAAAGGTCAAAGGACCCCAGACCATTCTTAGAAAAAAGGTGATGGTGATCTCAGCCCCTTTCGTATGCTGATGTCGTCCCCTGCCTGCTTGAAATGGATAAAATAAACCTCTGCTGAAGGCAAAACAGGACGATTTGCACCCAACTCCGCTCTGCTCCGTGTCTTCCTCCCTCCCGCTCCCCTTTACTCCCCAATTTTTGGAATGTCGCCTGGCCGACGCCTTCCCACCTTGACACCCCACCTGTGTCGGCCGCTGGACAGCCTGAAATGGGGCTGGTCCCCGACAGGGCGGAGGCCCCGGAGAACGTGGGGGCGAAGAAACCTCCCCCTCGCCCCGTTCAGCGCGCGCCGACCGCGGGCTCCTCCTGGGCCCGGCCGCTGCTCGGCTGTGGACGCCGGGCCCGCGCTGACCCCCGTCCCAGGCCTGACCAGTGCGGCCGGCGCCCCGAGCTCACCCTGTGTCGCAGGAGAAGGAGATGGACGAGCCGAACAGGATGTCGGTTGTTATGGTGACGTGACCGTTCTGTATTTCTCCCGGGTTCGGACAGGACTTTTCTAGGCGGGAACACAAGCGGGCAGCTTCCACCACCATCTGGCCGGGCCAAGCACGCCCCTGACCTTCCTGAGGCTCGCAGCTCAGCCCCCTGGCAGCTCGCCCGCTTTGGAAGGGTCAGCTGTCAGTGCACGCGCCTGGCCGCGCCCAGAATACACACCAGTCGCACTGGGCGCAACTTCAGGCTAGACATGAAGCCAGAAGTCGATGTGTTACGGGAAGGGCGTCCTGAAGGAACTGGGGGAGTCCTGTGGACCCCGCCCCTGCTCCGGCTGTCTGGACGCCGCCCCCTGCTCCAGGGACTGGAAACTACAACTCCCAGCAGCACCCGGGAGAGAACTGCAAGGACCCCGGGGCGGAGCCAGCGGGAATTCTGGGACATTGGGGGGTAAATAGGGGCCATTTTGTTAAGGGGAAGGACGTCCTGAAGGAACTGGGGGAGTCCGGTGGACCCCACCCCCTGCTCCGGCTTCCTGGACGCCGCCCCCTGCTCCAGGGACTGGAAACTACAACTCCCAGCAGCACCCGGGAGAGAACTGCGAGGACCCCGGGGCGGAGCCAGCAGGAATGCTGGGACATTGGGGGGTAAATAGGGAGGGTGAGGGAGGGGGTGCAGGGGCAAGGTCAGGGGACACCCTCCCTGCTGGGAGAGACGCTGGTGGGACCCATCCCAGGGAGGGGGGCAAGGGGGTGCATTTTCTACGGCGCTCTCGCTCGGGCAAGGGCTCTCGGGTCGGCGTGACCGGGGCTCCGAGCCAGCCGAGCCCGTAAGATGCTCCAGCTACCTTGCATCTCTCCCTTTCCCTGGCTGCTCCTGTTCCTGTCCCCTTCTGTAAATAAGCCCATATTGACCCTTCTGCGTGCACCTGCAGGACAACTGAATTTCAGGCGCGTGGGTGGGGGCCCCCCAGCAGGCGCCCGGTCCACACCGGGGTCCCCGGAACAAATTCACGTTCAGATCGGCTAGCGGTTGTGACTGAAACGAAACGGCCAGCCGCTCTGAAGAATCAGTGGACACTACTGGTTTTGACTCAGCTGCAGGGAAGGGGGGGTCCCGCCTGCTGGGTGGGCCGGGGTGACGCCCGGTGAGGTCAGTCCGGGAGGACGGATGCCAGAGTGTGTCACCGGAGGCTGTCCCCTGGGTGGGGAGCAGGGTCGGGCAGAGGCCGTGAGGCCCAAGTCCGCAGCGGATCACAGGTCCCGCCCCGGAGGGCAGAGGCCTCTGGGAGGGGCCGCGGGCCTCGGGGTGCTGGGCGGAGCTGGGGCTTCCCCATCCCGTGGGGTGGACCCACGCCCCCCCGTCCCTACACCGGCAGCAGACTGGCCCCCGCCCGCTGCCCACCCAGACCCAGGGCCGGCCGGTACTCACTCTTGCAGAACTCCTGCGGCTCGGACCACGAGTAGTTGGACAGGCAGGTGAGCCATGGGGACAGCGTGGGGTCCCTGCGATAGCCTGGACGACACTCATACTGCACCCTGGAGCCGGCCGGGAAGTAGTTCTGGCTGCTGAAAGACTTATTGAGCGACGCAAACAGCAGCCGTGGGGGGACGTCACAGCTCCCTGAGGGCAGCAAGGAGGGTCACCGGCTTGCTGACCGCCACGCGTCCAGACTGCCCGGCCGCCCCCCGCCACGCGTCACTGCACCGCCCCCGTCTCCCCGGCCCTGCCCGTGTCCACCACGTCACGGGAGCGCTCACTGCCCTCCGCTGGACATGGGTGACGTGGCCGTGGCGGTCACTGTCCGGCAGGCCCACGTACACCGGCCCAGCGGGTGACGGGTGGGAGTCAGGCCCCGGCTGGGCCCCGGGCTCCGTCCCGCCCACCACACTGGTGTGTCCGGTGCGTCGTCAGCAAAGCTCTGGCTGCCCACACCTGCGCGGTGGCCACTGGCCCAGAGGCCGATGGCCCCGTGAGCCCGGAGGGGGCGTGAGGCCCGGAGAGGCGCCAGCCGCCGTCGAGGGGGTGCCGGTCTCTGGCCGGGACACGCCGCCTGGCTCTCCCGCACACCAGAGCTGACCCCACGGGACTCACTGACCACCTGGGGACGGCGGCCTGGGCCGTGGCCAGCACGAAGCTGCCCCCCCACCCCCGCACACACAGAAGCCGGCGGGGCGTCCACGCGCCCCCGACCGGGAACGGAAGTTTGGGAAGACGCGGCTGCCGCCTCCCTCGGGGGGGCCCCTGTTTATTTTCCCTGCATCGCTGGGCTGTCAGGGAGCAGAAACCTATTAACGCTCAGGAGTCGCCGTCAATTAGCGGCACCAAGTGGCGGCTGGCACCCCGGGGGCTAATAAAGTCACAACTATCAATTACCATCACTGGGAGGGAAATTAGACTAACGAGGTACATTCCACTCCCAGCCCGCGGGGAAGAAAGAACGTTCCATGCCGGACCCCGAAGATCAGCCCATCCCGTACCCCCAAACATCATCCCATCCAGGACCCCCCAAACATCATCCCACCCCGGACCCCCAAAGAACATCCCACCCCGGACCCCCCAAAGAACATCCCACCCCGGACCCCCCAACATCATCCCACCCCGGACCCCAAGGAACATCCCGCCCGCGGAGGACGCCGCTCGGGCACTCACGGTTGCAGAAGTCCAGCAGTTCTGACCACTGGGTCCCTTCGCACACGGTGGAGTCCGGCAGGCCCGGCACCTTGACGAAGCCGGTGTCGCACGTGTAGGTGACCGTTTCCTTCTCGGGGAAACTCGAGAGCCCCCCCAGGTTGGGCTTCGCGTTGGGGACCACCGGCAGCGGGAAGCCGCAGTCACCTGGGAGGAGAGGGCGGGGCTGAAGGACCCCCCTGGGGCGCGGTGAGGGGAGCCTCCCCACCTGGTGCTGGGGACCCCGCGGGTGGGTCTGCGAGGCTGCCTGCGGGGTCCTGGGGGCTCCAGGGAGCCCCAGGACCGCAGTCCTGACGGCTGAGCCCTCCTTTGCGTTACTTTAAAATAGGGGGTGAAAGTGCGCCCTGGGGAAGGGCGCCCAGCGAGCACTCCCCTGCGCCCCAGAGCCGCAGCCGCACAGGGGCGCCGGCAGGAGCCGGGCGGTCACCGGTCAGCGGCTCTCCAACCCGGAGACTGGGGTGCGGG